GGGCCCGGGGTGGGCGGCCGATGCGGTGAGTGCGGGCGGGAGGGTGACGGGGGAAACGGCCGCTCCTTTCCTCTTTTTCCTCCTCCGCCCGTCGCCGTGCTACGCGCGCCCCGCAGGCCGCTTCCCTTCCCCACCGCCCCCGCCGGCCGGCGCGCTGCCAGGTTGGGGAGGGGGGTGGGGGGCGTAGGCCACCATCTGCGGGGAAGCCGAGGGCCCGGTTGGAGGTCTGGGTCGTAGATAGGCCGCTCCGCCATGTCCCTGAGCTCCGGTGGGGTCAGCCCTGGAGGTGGGCGGTCAGGGGGCTGACTGCGACGGTGCTCCGCTGCAGCACAAAGGGGGTAAGTGGTGGCACAGCTGCGGAGGGCATTGTCATTTCACGCTGTGTCCTGTACTAGTGCTAATGCTCTTCCTTCACACTGCCCCTCCCGAGCTCAGCACTCTTACCTCGGCCAAGTCTCCTGCTCAGGTACTTTGTTCTCTTAAGGAAGAGCCACAGAGTCCTTTAGCACTGCTGGTGTTCCCACCAGGGAACTGTACAAAGTTGATGTTTGTAGGCAAAAGAGTCTTTGGCAATAAAGCACAATCTGCCAAATGGAAGTGGACCACACAAGAAGGCAGACAGATTCACCCATCAGGATGCTTCTGTATTTTTTACCTTGAGGGTGGTGAGGCCCTGGCACAGGTTGCCCAGAGCAGCTGTGGCTGCCCCCCTCCCTCGAAGGGTTCAAGGCCAAGTTCGACCGGGCTTTGAGTGACCTGGGCTAGTGGAAGGTGTCCGGGCATGTCCATGGCAGGGGGGTGGGACTAGATGATCTTTAAGTTCCCTTCCAGCCCAAACCATTCTGGGATTCTACATGCAGTAAAGCGTGTTTATTATTCAAACTTAGAAATACTTCTGGGAAAAATGAGGCAATGCATTACCAGTAGTACTAAAGCCGTTCAGTCACAGCACAACACGCAATGAGCATTCACTCTGTTCAGGAGGATCCTTTTGCTGTCAGAGTGTGTTTAATTTGAGCTGTTCTCATATCTCCTGAACTGGTAGAAACGGTGCTAATAATGGGAGCTGAGAGGCCTTGTGTTATAGACAGCACTGCTAATAAAATCCTCATTGCTGTATCTTATGATAGTTAACATCCTGTCATCCAAAAAAAACCACTGAGATTTTTTTGGCTCGCTGTACATCCATTCAGAGCTTCTTTTGAACAAAAAGCTGCCTGCTCCTTATAAATGGTGTGGGTTTGATTTTAAATTCAGCAATAAGTTGAGCAATGTCCTTCAAGCATTTTGGATTCATATCACCTTTGATAACAAGCTATCGGTTTTGTGGCTTTACGTGTTCATGCCTCTTGGTCATTCTTCCATACTTCAAAGTATCCTGGAATCTACCTGCTTCCCCTGGAGTTCGTGATGAGGGTGGTACATGTGGATTGAATGTAACATTTTTTAAAGCTATGGGAATAACTGTCTCCTTAGTTAATGATTTATTCTGAAGGCAGTGTTGCCCCCAGAGGAGTGTAAGTGTGTTGATGGGGCACAGGTGATCACACCTTAGCTGTAATGTGTTCAAAAGGCATTACTGATTTGATTGATCAGATTAACTAATGCTGGGATGGAGCTGAGGTCTGGCTGTTTTAGTGGGAACATGAGACTAAATGTTACCAAAAAAGCCTGAATTGCTTTCCTCTTAGCTTTAAAACGTAGACTACCTCTGCCTTCTCTCTGTAGAAGAGAACACAACCAAATAGTCATCTGAGAGGAAGAGTCAAGTTGAAGGTGAAGGATTATCATCAAAAGATGTTGGCCAGTTGTGCTTTAAACACGAAGAGAATGTAGGCTCTGTGACTTTGTATTGCTGTGAGGAATAGAAGAGATCTTGGCAGATGCCCTCTGAAATAGAGAATAGTTTTTCTTATACAAATATTTTTCTATGCAGCTGATGTATCTTTAGTGTAGTTCTGCTTGAACTTGAGGCAGTTATCCATGTTTGTAGCCTTCCATCTGTACTAAAGTAGTTTTGCCCTCAGATTCTACACTTTAAAGATGTGTTGTAAAGGTCTACTTCTGTTTCCCCTGTTATATAAGCATCTAGATTTTTGTAGCCCATTGGAGCTTTTGATGATACAGTCTCTAGCTATTACAAAGAGGTTTCAGGGATTGTTTTTCAAACAACCACAGAGGGTAGCTTGGGAAAAACAAGGGGGAGGGATAGTGCTAGAATTGCCTTCTGCTCTCAGTAGCACTGGCCAGCTGGTGCCTACTTGTCATCTCCAGTATTTGCTTCTTCAGGTCTACTTTTTTCTGGGTTGAAGTGTCCAGGAAACAAGTGAAACATGTCTGGGCTTACTTGTGCTGGAGGGTGTTGTTCCATTTATTGGAAGCAAAAGTTGAGCTGAGGAAATTGTTGAAAGAGTGCCAGTCTTGGTTAAGCAGAGGGGATGAATTGCTGACCTTTTCTGGGAGTAGGGTGAGCTGCTTTCTCTGACAGATTCCCCTATACTACTTAACGTTTTTGCTGGGAGGGGAGTGGCAAACAGGGTGGACATGTTAGGAGATACATGCCTGTAGAGTCAAGTACTTTCAGAATTTTCAGGATTTTATTGATGAATGAAGGAGGAGCTGCAATCTGGCAGGGACTGTTCTAAAGGTATTTCAGCATAGCTCTTGGTAGGCTTGATCTTGTCTGCCTGCTTTTTGAACCTCCGTAAACTTGTAGCATCCACAACATGCCTTGAAAAGGAATTCCACAGATTTACATCTGTTTTATGAAGAAGTTTCTCTTTTACTTCTTTTGAACTTGACACGTGCAGCCTTTGATATGTGTCTCCTTATGTTGGAAGAAAATTTGATTCATTATTCCCTATTCAGTTTTGTCATGGTTTTGTAGACCTCTGCTGTATCATTTCCTCAGTCCTTTTTCTTCTGTCAGGCAGAACCCTAACTATGATAGTCATTGCTTGTGTGGAAGCTGCTCTGGCTTTTGGTGTGAACTTTCTCTGTAATTACAAGTACAGAGTACCCGTCATGTTACTGTATCATTTCTAAGTAGGTGCATTAGGGGGGAAAGAAACCTTCATGCAGTGTTGAGGAATAATGCACTGTGGACATGCACAGTTAAATAATTATATTCTTTGTCTTAGTTTTAAATTTTTTTCTAATTTCTGATATCCAGTCTAATTTGTTAACTGTTGGTGAGTACCTAGTAGATGTTTTCATCAGAGGCTATCAGACGTAAACCCAACAGCTCATTCCTGAGTGGTACGTAACTTGGAGCCTGTTGTATATATGAATGGCCTTGTTCATATAACCATCAGTATGAAATTTAACACTTCTCTTTGATCTGATAAAGCCTATAGCGCTTGCCTTTACTGGCACACTTACAGACATTTAGAGAGTTTTGAAAATGTTTAACTAACTTAAAGGATAATACTGATTAAGTAGCAAATTGAGAATTTTTCTCTAAAAAAGAGAAAACACATCTTCCCTCCACCTGCCAAGGAGGGTTTTTTTTTTAATTATTGCAAATTTAATTTATTTTGCTTTTTTGCAAATTTCTCAAATAATGCATTTTTGCAAATAGTATCAAAACTTCTTTTGTGTATGTGTGTGAATATTTCAGGAAATGCTTCAAAGGACATCAGAAGATTTTCTTCCAAAGATGGAAAGTTCAGTTGAAGCAATGGATACCTCTGATACCCAGTGGGGCTGGTTTTATTTGGCTGAGTGTGGTAAATGGCATATGTTTCAGGTAAATACCTATGAAGCTATATTAACTGTGATGTACACCATACATCAAACTACCTATTGCTGAATTTGTCTAAATGTTCTTTTTCATTTATTTTGAAGAGCGATTCAAACAGTCATTGCTCTGTTAGCAGTGAAGATATTGAAAGGAGCTTCCAAACAAACCCACATGGTTCTGTTTCTTTTACTACTGCGAAATTTAACTACACACTAGACTTTTCAGGTATGTATCATTTCACAGAGTAAATTTAAATAACAGATGCCAGATGGACCAGTTCATTTGTCCATTCAGCAAATTATTTACCATGTATCTAGTGAAAAAACTTGTGATTGGAAATGTCTTCTGTACTAGAATGTACATAGGAGTTTTTAGAAGCAGCTGCTGCCCTGTTACATTTTCTGGTGTGGTTTATTAATAAAGTAGCATGTCTTGTTTAGTAGCTCTCCATCATGTTAGTGCTGCTTACCTCAGCTGTAGATGATATGTAGCATACATTGGACTGGGAAGTTTAAACCTTTTTTCTTTAACTTGCAACTGTTTGTAAGGTTGAAAAGCTTCTGCTCAGAATCTGTATAAGAAACATTGATAGGAAGGAAGCTTTCTGCAAAATACTGCTATCAAAGTGATTTTTATAATTCATCAGGTAGTTGAAGTCAGTTCTTTTGTCAGAATAACAAGAAGATAGGCAAAAGGATTTTTTAGTAGATTGTAAAGGTCTCACTTATGCCATGCTTGTAAATTACAGTTACAGGATTCTAATGTATGTACCTAATTATAAATTAACCTGTCCTTTATTGAAAGGTGTATTGTAATGACTTCCTTTATTTTTTTTTAAATTTTCCATCCATAGATTGTTTATTTTCTGATTAAATTATGAAACAGGTATATGCTTAAATATAGAAGCCTCTTCGAAATCAAAGAAAATAATAGTATTTCAAATACGGAAAGTGGAGACAGGGTAAAACAGTGATGTACTGGGAGTAAAGTAGTATGTAACAATATAAGAAGTTTTGTATTTACTTGTGATGAAATGTTTGTTCAAAATAACCTTTGTTTCGTATCCAGAATAAAAGCATTAAATGCAAACTCTAAGCAACAATTTTTATGTTGCTGTTTGTAGGTTGTGATGTCTTGCATTAAGGATAGTAGTAATGTGCTTTGTCATCCTAGTTGTATTAAAGTCAGTGGAAGTTTTGCCAGTGATTTAGTGGAGGTGAATGTTAGATGGGTATTTTAACAATAAATGTTTTGTTTGTGTAATATTTGCACATTAGGCCAACTCCTATAAATAACAGTGATTCTGAGGCCAGTATTTAGAAATGTTTATCAAAAATGCGGATTTGTTAATTGTGGAAATAGGGATTCCTGTCAAGCAGCTGTGGGAGTAGTAATGTTATTTTAATGACACTTAAATATTTCATATGCTATAGATGAATTCCAGAAATTTTCACCCTAACTCTTGTTTTATGCTCAGTGATGAAACAAACCAACCTAACGACCCTTAAGCAACGTCCAATAAAGCGAGCTCCCTTTTCTATCAGTGCTTTCAGGTAAGGAAATAAATGGAAGACTCCTTGTTTTTATTTTATTCCTGCTGCTTCTAAGTAAAATGAAAGAAAATTTTTATATTTATTTCCATTTTGCATCAAACAATTTGAGAGGGGAATTGAGGCAGGAGAGCTAGTCAAGTGAAGGAAGACATTTCAGAGAAGAATGACAAAAGAATTTTTAGTTTGCCTTTTTGTCTTTTTTTCTGAGAAAGTAAAGAACTTGTAGTGGAAGAGGCAAGGCATACTGAATACTGCTATCCTTAAAGCTCTGCCTGACTTTAGCTGTTGGAGTCCCTTGCTGTAAATACTTGTTGAATCAGAATTGCTGGAGAAGCAGCAGCAAAAAGAGTCGTTTTTTCCATTGTAATAATGCCTTCATAAATCATTAGGAAGTATTATTGTAACAGCAAAAAAGATTGAGTTCTATTTTCTTGCCTGTATGTTTTAATTATTTACTCTAAAATGATTTGAAATTACAAGAAATTGCATCAAAACAATTGCATATTGTTTTATGAGTCTAATTGCTTTAGATTATAAGTTTCTTACCATCTGATCAGATGTAAAGCTGTGTTGATGTAAATCTGATACTCACTAAACAATAAACTGATCTATGCAGTGATACTACCACAGGTGAGATGTACTGTTTGGAATACATGGGGCTTTTTCTCCAAATAGTTTCTTAGAAATAATTTTAGTTCTGAATTGTAGTCTGGTTATACTTTCAAAAAGAAATTTGGCATTTGTAATAAGAAATGTAGTAGCAATCTTTTTACACTGATATTAAAGAAGGGTTGTTTTTTTGAAGTGTCAACTGCTTATTTAATGGATGTTTGCTGAAGAGTGTATGCAATAATGTAGCAATTCACTTGTGTTTTTTTGTTTCTTGAGTAATTGCATTCAGTACCCTCTTTCCATGTTATGACACCATTTCTTACTTTCGGGAGATTGCTTAATTTAGTCCTGGTTTTAAGACTTAAAAGCTGCTATGTATGTGGTCTGTAAAGAGTTTAAAACACTCTTTTTTGTCAGAGTTTAGTTTGGGTTTTTTTGAAAAACAAATTCAATTACAAATGTGTATTTCTAACATGATTCTTTTAAACACTTCAGATGAGGGCTCAGTTTCCAGAGACTTAGGCTAGTTGTAGTTCCTCATAGTTTGGAATGTCCAGGCTTATCTACACTCTCACATTTCTAAATTAGTGTTGCTCTCCTGATGATGTGGACCTTTCTGACCATCTCTTCTGATTTATATTCCTACCTTTTGTTAGGTAGGTGTTTTATTAAAACTGTTCATTACTGTGGTTTATTTATAATAACTTAAGACAGAATTTGAATGCAAAATAACACCTCTTAAATTTACCTGCTGACAACAGCCTTTGAATTACAACCCAAAGTAGTTTTGTATAAGTTTGGGGTGGTTTTACGTACTGTATTGTTGGGAGCAGGACAGGAAGAAAATGCTTCATGTCTTTGATACATGTTTTTACCTTTTTTTGTTTGAAGTTTCATCTGTGAAAATGAGGCTATCCCTATGCCATCACACTGGGAGAATGTAAATACCGAGGAACCATACCAGGTAAGAGTTGGTATGAAAGTTGGTCAAAATCACATTATAATAAAATAATGCATCGAATTGAAATTGTACTAACCTCTTTTTTTCCAGCTTATTCCATTGCAAAAGAAAACAAATGAATATAATGAAGTTTCTAGTCTCTTTGGAAAAACAATGGATAGCCACCGAATTAAAAGAATTAAGAGAATACAAAATCTAGACTTGTGGGAGTTTTTTTGCAGGTGAGATTATTTCTAAAAAACAACAGTTTTAGGATTGTTAACGAAGCAAATCTTGAAGGCATGTAGCAAAAATATGTTTAATTGCTTTCATTATTAATGAAAATAAATGTTACTCTTTATCTCTCTCAAATTTTCTTATTTGTCATTCCTCTGTATTCATAATCCCATATTCAAGACTGTAGCTTCTGCAGGTGCAGAAATGTAATACTTGTAGAAATGCATTACATGTAGATGTAGCACAGATAAAACTGATGCATTAAAGATGTTTAGGATGTCCGTGTGGTAGATGCCCATGATAGTTACAGTGAAGTAAGGAGAGCAAAAATAAGCTTTCTGTAAAATAATTCCTTGACAGGCTTGTACTATTTTAATTTTTAGTGAACAAAGCAGATGAGTATCTGTGGCTTTTTTAATTCTCTTTTATAAATATATAGTTCTCAACTTTATAAAATCTAGGATAGAATTAAGTGTCCAATTAGCACATATTTATGTAATTTCTTTACGTTTGGTGTGCTACAAAAGCTTTTACTAAGTTCTCTGCTTTTCCCTCTTAATATTGTGCTGTCCCAGAAGAAGGAGGAAGTGTGAAGTTCTGTTTCCACTTATTTCATAGTATCAGTCTCAAGCAGTTGTATTTGGCAAAAATTATTTGTATAGCCTCTAAGAAGGTGTACCTATGAGAATCAGTTTTAAAGATTTATTACACTATTCAAACCAACTGAACTAAGTTAAATAATGAGGAAATCACTTAGCAGATGTATATTTAAAAATTGCGTTGTTGTATGATTTTTTGAAAGATGTAAAATTGTTAATTTAAAGCTGTGTCATGAATATGCATAAGGAAATTAAGCTCTTGGTTGAAAGAGTTAACCTCTTGGTTAAGAGAATTTTCTTGATTGCAAATCTATTTGGTTATATTTACTTGTTTGGTTGTATTTACTTGTTTAGGTATTAAGGCTTATGTGCTTGGCCTTGTGTTTCAAGATCTACCTTTCTACAAATAAGTTTCTGGAGAGGTATATTTATACCATCTTAATACCAATCTTAATTTTTGAGAATAGGAATACTAAGCAGACTTCAAATTAAATATCCTTTGAATCTCCAGTGGAGATGACAGCTGGGGGCAGAAGATGACCTTTTTTGCTTAGCTTAGGAACTGATGTCATTTGGAGAGTGTGCTACTTTTGCTGACTGGTCAGTGAGTAGAATTCGTGGTTTAAGAACTCTGAATCTATGGATACTATGCTAGAATATTTTCAAAAGGCAAAACTGAGAATGGGAAATAGAATTTCATACATCAGGAGTATTATGGTCATCCGTATATAACTACAAAACAAGGTACTTTTTAGTACCTGTACGATATAAAAATATGTGGAGAAAAGTCATTTCAGTTTTAAGTTTTCTCCTGTGTCAAAAAAAAAAATACAACTAACAGTGAAAATTTCGAGAATAAGTGTATGCAGTTGAGACTTAGCTTAGGGTAAATTACAGCCTTGGATTAGTGGATTTACACACACTGGTGAAGAAATTATTGCCCAGTGGTATACTACAAAGAAGTAGCTATTCTAGCATTACACATTCACTAAAAGTTCTTTTGGTGTTCCATATGGGAAAGTAAAAGTAACAGAAGTGAAGTAACAGAAGTGAAAGTAACAGAAGATTAATTTTAGTCTAGTATATTTTGGTTTATACCTCTCAGTTTGGAGCTGTAGAGGAGTAGAGCAAGTGGAAAATGGTGTTTGGTCAGTGTTATTGCTGACCATCTTTAGAAAAGCTTGTGTGCTTGCATATGTACGAAGAACATGTCTCTGGGTATTTAGTTTTGGTTTAGGTTTCTCCTTTATTCAGTGAACTGGCTGTATGAGAACCTTCCGAGAGGTGGATCAACTTGTTTTTGTTTTACTGGATTAGCTTGTCACTGCTGGTAGAAAGTGCCAAGACAAAGTTTTTTTTAATAAAAGTTGGATTCCTTGATTTCTATTCCAAATCTACAAAAAGTCCTGCTGTGGCTTTTCTGCATTCTGCAGACCCAGATTCTCAGTGTGCTCAGTATATTCCCCTACTTATGAGGAACAATTGCTACTTAAACTGTTGTGGTTTTGAGCAAGTGCTTTGTTTCATTGATAAGGTCCGTGATTAAATTTGAGCATTGCTACATGATGCGTTATTATTTGCATCATTGTAGTGGCCCAAACATGCCTGTTCCCATATGAATGACTATTTTAAATTGGTTTTATGAAATCAACTAGTCGGAGATAATGAAGATGTTACAGAACATTTTTGGACAATTGATTATACACCTTTTCTATAAATTTGTTCTGTTCCCCTATTTCAATAGAAGTTACTCTAGGCTACCTTATATACAGAGATCAGCAGCCAACAGTAGAGGGCTGCTGACTGAAAAATTTCAAATGTTCAGGATTACTAGTCCTTAGCTCAGAGGTGTTGCCTCACACAGGTAGTTTTCTCAAGATGCAGGGAGTCTTGGCTCCTGGGTTTTGTTGAATTGCTAACAGGGTGGAACTTGAGTGCTGGAACCTCTCTGCCTCTGACACTATATGTCACAGATTAGTGAAACCTTCCAGATGCCCTTGAGATTCTACTGACATTCTTCTGATTTGGAAAGCAGATTTAGGGGAAAAAAAGACACACAAAAATTAAGTTTCCAAGACATAGTTATTTTAGTTTGCGCTAAATGGAAGAGAAAAAAACAAGCTCAACCATAAAACAGAATAAACACATCTTTCCAGCTAAGTACTGCAAGATTTTCAGTTCTATGAAATGTAGTTATTTACAAATAATGCATAATTGCAATGTAATGCCATTAATACGATGAAGAATCTTTGGTGCCTGTCTCTTTCCTTGGACCTGGTTGATAGGACTTCCTCAGACTGCATCTAAACTGTAGGCCCTGAGAACACTTCTCCAGTTCAATTGTGCACTCCAGTTATAAACAGATTGCTTAATCTGGTAAATCTAAGTATATGCACGAGAAACCTAAGTATGTAGCACAAAGCCCCTTGCACTGTGGCTTTTATAGGAAGAAAATTCAGGTATGTAGACAAGAACAAAGCTATGATGCATTCCTACTCATCTTTGGACATTCAAGGGATCATCACTATGAACAGCTCTGTGATTTAGACACAGCTCCAGAGTTTACTTCTTCATGGATCTTAGGAACACCCAGCTGACAGAAAATGCTTAAAAAAGATTGATGGAAAGTGTGTCTGTTCTTTAATTGAAGGTATTCCATGGCCTTCTGCCCATGAGACTGTAATATAGGTTCACCTGTAGTATAATTCTTTTCAAAATTCTGGACTGATGTAACCCTCTCAATGCATGACTTCTCTGTTTTAGAAAGTATGTGAACCATAAATTTAGAAAACAATTATGAAATCATTTTGAAGTAATTTTATCTAAAAATACAGATAATTTTATTTTGAATATTTTTGCCACATTACCTGGGTAATTATAATCCACTAACTTCATTGTCCATCTCACCATGCTATTTAAGTAGGTGGAGGAGGAAAAATGCCTTTCTTTTAAAAAATGTATTTGCAGAAAATGACCACAGTGAAACTAATGCCAAATGAATACTGTTGATAAAATTGGTATAAAAGTCCTTTTTACCTAATCTTGGATTACTTCTGAAAATGGTCCACAGCATCCAGAAATGTGTGATTTCTAACCGTGTACCTTAAGCATCCTGATCTCTGTAGAATTCTCTACTAGAATCATCTAGACACTTGTGAAAGTGGAATGTATGGAGTGTTTTAGGTCTGTTCCCTCTGCAGTATTGTCAGAGTACTAACTTAATTTGATTGTACAGATGTTTGTAATGCTTGTGTTGTGTGTTCTCTGTAGGAAAAAAGCACAGCTAAAGAAGAAAAGAGGTATCCCAATTATTAACGAGCAGATGTTATTTCATGGCACCAGTAATGAATTTGTAGAAGCAATATGCATTCATAACTTTGACTGGAGAATAAATGGGATGCATGCTGCTGTATATGGAAAAGGTAAGTATTTTTGTCACATACAACAGTTTGGTAATCTTAACAGTTCAAAATTAAGTGTTCCCCACAGTGTGTTCTTTGTGATGTTCTCCCTGTGTTTATCTAAGAGCTGTTTAATATAGCTTTGCTTTTACAGCAAGTGTAATTAAGAAGGTTAGGATGCAGTGAGGAATGTAATTGTCTCAACTGTCTGGGAGGACCAGGGAGAGTGGGGAAGGATGTCCAAGCAAGCAGATCACAAGACAATTTTCCTACTAAAGTGTTCCCACTAGAAATATTTGGTCGTGTTGCTATAATCTTAACAAGTTAGAGGAAGAAAAAAAAAAAAAAGATTGCTAACGAACGTAAAAGAACAGATATCTTTCATCATCCTAATAGCTAACATGCTCTAGTAGTTAAGCTGTCATGATAAGAATGTAATCAGATATTTTTTTTTATTTGAAAGGGACCTATTTTGCAAGAGATGCATCATATTCCAGTCGTTTCTGCAAAGAGGACATGAAGCATGGAGATACTTTCCAAATACATGGTGTGAATCTGCAGCCTCATCTGCATAGACCAGATAAAGTTATGTTTCTTGCTCGTGTATTAACTGGTGACTATATCAATGGTGATTCAAAATACATGAGGCCTCCTTCAAAAGATGGAAGTTTTGTGAACTTGTATGACAGCTGTGTGGATAATACCTGGAACCCAAAGATCTTTGTTATCTTTGATGCCAATCAGATCTACCCTGAGTACTTAATTGAATTTTGTTAAACTTGAAAGGAGCTGAACTGAATGTTGTTTGTGTCTTTTTTGATACTTCTGTTTCTTTTCTAAAGACAACAAGACAAAAACATGAAGCGTAAAAGGAGAGAGGTGAAAGAAAAGCTGCATATGTTTATGGAGGAGGGAAGCTATTTAAGAGAGATTGTTGAACTGTTTTAAAGAAATGTAAACTTTACTAATGCATTTTTCCAATGTAGGGATTATGACGAATTTAAGATTGCTTAGTGAGCCTTAAATATATTGGGCATTGATAAGTTTTCAAAGGCAAGATTTATGTTCTGATTTTTTTAATATATTACAAGTATTTATTCACGTGGTAGAAATATGCCTGTAATATAGTATGCATAAGATGAAATTAATTTTTTTATAAAGATTGTCTGTAGAACACAAAAATAACAAAAACAACGACGAAAAACAAACCCAGGGGACTTGGCTACATATGTGTGTATGTCTGTGTTCTGTAGTACACGTTGCTTTGTGTTTGGAGGTCTCTTAGTTAGGTTTTTTCTGTAGGTTTAGAATCCATTCTGGAGAAAACTGATGAAGGAGCTATAAAGTTCACCAGAGCTGTTATTTTTAACTTTAGGTACATTTTACTGTAAGCTTCAGTTATATACTTGCAAAGATTTAATCTTATATTTGCAAGATTACAAAACCCTTACACTAGGATTTGGACTTTGGTTTTGATGGAGATGAGGCACATAAGCTTTTGTGGTTGTTAATTGTTTGGTATGTAGCAGTTGAACTCAATGTTGAGATACCAGCAGTGCCATACACCTTTCCAAGTTCTTATTCTATAGAATTTTTACCTTGTTATAGTATGTATGTGCGTGTACTTACATTGATACTGCTGTGCTTCTTGCCTGGTCAGAGTTTAAGAAGCACTTGGTGTTTGTGCACTTTTTATTACTGAAGGCAATATTTAGATTAACTTGACTGGAAATAATACAGTTAAACTAACAATGAAAACTTCAAAAGATGCCATCCTTTAATTTTTAAACACTTTAATAGAAGGCTTTCGATAACACTTGTGTAGAACAGGTTTGCATAACAGGCATTGTTGTAAAGGTTTTTTTCACATGTAGAAAGAGCAAAAGAGACAATATTTGGGTAAAGAACAAACGACTACCTAAATACATGATGAGCCTTAGGAAGTGGCTGATTCAGTAAAATGTGCTGAAATGTTAAACAATTTCCTCTAAAATTGTATCCCTAGTGTTTGTTAAAGAAACTAAGGAGCACTAAGGGACAGTAATGCAAGTCTAAGTGGAAGCATCCCAGGCTGCTTCTTTGACTATGACCAGTAACAAATCCCCATAGAAATATTATATAATTGTGGCAGATACAAATGATCCGTGTTAGTCTGTCATGGAACGATTAATGGACTTTTTGATCCAAGGCTGTGTTTAAAATCTGTTCTATTTAAAAGGCACTGCAGCTGGCATCACCAAGTCTGCTCAGAATCACATTAAACTTACGGAACTAAAAGCAGAATATGACTACATATCTGGCATCATAACTGAAGATGCAAAGATCTCTTCCTTCTTCTTAGTGCTGTTTGCCTGTCTGTGGATCTTGCACAATTTGGGTGTCTGTATTTGTAATTCCATGGCAGCTTTTCCTTTTGTTCTGTTCCTGAACTGTTTAGGACTAAGATGTGTTTCCCTTTATTTTAGTGAAACAGAAAGTGTGATCTCTGATTCCAGTTGGAAACTCTAGGTTCTACTGTCGTAGGCATGATTTGTGTTTGATTCACTGCTATGCTGTCGGTGTGAAAGGCACATTGTTCCTCATGTTGTATAAAATATTTAATAGCAAATGATCCAGGGAATTTGTGTATTACTGACTACTTTTTATTCTTATATGGTATTCTACAGAACATACATTTTATGAAACTAACATATGTGCTGTTGTTCCTTTGATTTGGTCTTTTATTTCTTCTGACGTCTGAACTGATGTTTTTAGTTAAGAAGGAAGAAGTTTCTTTTTTGTGTGTGTCTCATGGACACAAAATAACCATAATCTATACTGATCTTTGTGAATTCCAATTGTATGTGTGGTGGTGTCTTGTTTCCTACTTAAATCACTTGAATGGCAGAATCTTAATCGTAACAAATCACCGTGCAGTTGTAGTTTCAGCTGCTCTTTTAACATACTGCTCTGCTTTCTGGTTTCCATTTTTGTGCTGATCAGTCTTGATGCTGAAGGTATCTCTAAAGTAGCCATTCTTTTGCTGACAAGGAGACATTATTATTGTAACTCTACAGGTGGCCAATACAAGAAATATCTGGACTTAAAAGAAACAGTGAAGGAAGAAGGGAGGAAAATACTTTCTTGGACTACGGACCATTAAAGGGAAGGGATTTATTCTGATTTCTGGGGCAGGTAAACTGCTATTTTCTGTCACTATTTCAAGTAGCGAAACTTTATGCTCCATTTTCTTTTTACATCAGTGCAAGAGAGCATGTACTGATCTGAGGTAAAGCTTTCTTACTAAATTATTATTGTAGCGGAATATTTTCACATGGGCACAACACTTCAGTATGAGCTGATCTTCTATATCATACTGGCTTCCTGTGCCAGCTTTGCTTTTTAGAATGGGTGTGTACTTCATTATTGCTGAACAGATCTCATTCATCCAAAGCAGTTTGGGAGAGCATCTGTCTTCAGTTCATTTATAGGGGCAGTTTGTACAAACTTTTGTTTTCAACTTAAAATGTGCAGAAACAAAAGGACACAGTTTTAGTTTTTAACAGATGTCCCCGTACCCTCACATCCTGGTTATATGTGGGATACATAATGTACTGGCTGGTGATAGTGACTTAAATTCCAGGAGTACATTGGATGCCAGCTCAGCTGGTAGTTTGAGGACAACTCTGATCCTTTTTAAACCATTATCAGCACAGAAGATCACAGCAGGAAGTCTAAGGTAGGTGGGGATTGTCTTCAGTAATTGCCTTTAGACTAATAAGTAGTTGGTGTGCTTCTCAGCTGCCTATACAAACCATACATTTGATGAGCACATGTCAGTCTTAAAATTCCTTTGACCTGTATGTCCATCAGTGGTGTAACTGATTATTATTAGACACTGTCCAAAACAGCAGACTCCCAGAACAGCATAGGTCTGCTCCAGTACAGCCATCTACTCTTGACAAATCACCAAAAATTGGGACTGACAGATGGAATACTTCGCACTGTGGTTGCTGCTTCTGTGCTTCTCTTGCTTTTCTCCACTGACATAAGCCTGCAGAGTTAGTGAGAGAGTTTAAAAGCATAATCTCTCAGCAGCCAAAATAAGTCTATCCTTGCTTAGCTGCTTTTTTTTTTTTTGGTTTTGTTAAGAGACAGAAACCGCTCACATTACTGATGAATTCACTGACTTGATTTCTGTCGCATACGGAGTAGAAGAACAGGTCAGATTTTTATTTTAATTTTTTTTCCAAAACCACACATTGTATAGTAAATAGACTGTGGGGCACTGGCCCAGACCCCAGGCTCCCCACAGTCGCTGGCTAGTGCAGCTTAAAGGTGCTGGTGAATACGTAGGCACACCCCCGGCACACCAGGGCTGGGGAAAACACAGACTCCCCCCAGCAGCTGGCACCAGGCACACAGGCAGTGACCCGTGGGCCCGCTCCAGTGGCGCTGAGCTCCTTGCTCGCCTCGCTCACGCTGTCCCCGCAGCAGCTGATTTTGGGAACAGACACCGTTCCCACCTCAGGGACGGGGTGGGGGGGTTCCAAGACCCCCACTGGCTCCAGTAGCTGACACAGAGACCCCACTCATCCCAGTCACTGGCACCACAGGCCAGGGGAGCCCACCCCCAGGTCTGACCCCGGGAGCTGGCACCAGCTTCCCCTCACACACAGCCAGGTCTCACCAGTAGCTGCACCGAGTCCTTGCAGCACATGGCACAGAGGGTGCCTGTGCGCAGAGAGATGCTTAAGAAGATATTGAATAAGAAGATACAGGAAGCCAGGCCAGACTGCAGTGATCAGGCACAAGGCTCAGCCAGACAAGCGTACTGACCAGCCCCGGTTTACAGCCGACTGGCCCCACTTACACCCCTTTCTGTCTACCACCCTTTGTTCCTCCCTGCTCCCCCTTCCCCTGCACATCCCCCTCCCCGTGGGTCTGTGCAGCTCTGTCCATTCCTGCGCCCCTCGCAGTCCAGGGTCCCCCCTGTGCAGTATTAGCAGTTGCTAAGTCACAGAATCATCTAGGTTGGAAAAGACCTTGAAGATCATCCAGTCCAACCATTAACCTCACACTGACTGTTCTCAACTACACCAGATCCCTCAGTGCTATTAGAGTCCCAGCTGATCTTCCTGAAGTGGCACCTGTGGTTTCTTCATCGCTCATCAGTTAGTGTGAGTGCTGAGGTTTGTTCCTTGCCATTTCCTTCATGTTTGTTTTGTCAGGTCTGTGTCTCGGTGTATCTTGTTTCAGGTTTCCCCCTTTTCCCCTTAGTTTCCCAACTGACAGGTCCCCAGTCAGATCACCTTCTCACATGCCCTTATCATTGATGTGACTGACCAGGTTTGATGTGACTGTTGATGACCTGACCCAGTTGATGTGACTGACCAGGTTTGATGTGACTGTTGATGACCTGACCCAGTTGATGTGACTGACCAGGTTTGGTTCCCATCGCTGCCTCCCTTATCAAGTCAGTCAGGTTTGTGTCTCTGTATGTTCTTGTTCATGGCTTCCTCCTTTTCTTATTGTCCCTGTTGCATTGGAAAAGGTCCTTGACCAGATACCCTTAAAGGAGTGACACTCTCATTCCACATGCCCTTCCAGATGATTATGCTACCAACATGTCCTGCAGTTCTTGTCCCACATTTGTCCTAATTTGGGAATTTGGACAAGTCACATTTCATTCCTATGGTAAGGAATGCACATGGTAGGATCATTTGCACAGAGCTTTCATCATGATGCCAGGACAAGAGACAACCAAGGTGAACACAAAGACTGGAAGCTTGCAGTTTCTTGTGAGTGGATCTTTAATTTTAAAGGGCCCATTGGAATGTACAGAAGTATTTGGTGTATAGTAGAATAAGCAAGAAAAAAATTGCAGTTTAATGATGAGTGAGTGTACAGTATGGAAAAAGATGTCATGGTTGAAGCTTCTCACAGGGGCCACTGCTATATCCCCCTCCCCTGCCACCAAATGCCCCCGCACACACACAAACCCAGTACAAAAGGATTAAAAAAGTAAACTCCGCCCATTCAGACATTAATCAGTTCCATGGAATACCGTAAAAAGAGTTTCTCTTCCTTGTGTGCTTGGAACTGTTATGACTGACGCTGCTGTCGTGTTACAGATGGTAAACCAGCTGGTCATAGCTGTTGCACACCTATTTGCAGATATTTTAAGATGAATTTACAGCTACTATTAGAGTCTTTTACAAAAGAGATTGTGACTCAGCTGCTAGAAACAACAGTCTTAAGCTATGCTCTTCTCAGCTATTGACTCCATTAATTGGAAAAGTCTTTAATTTCTGTATTTATATTTTGCCTCCCTAGTGCCTTAGAATATCTTTGAGGGTTTTTTTGTTTCAGTATTTTCCTTTTTAGAAAAATGTATTTTGCAGTTGGAGAGGGATGAGAGAAGAATAAGACAGGATAAACCTACCAGTATTTGGGGAAGCTGCTTGGTCCGTGTGGTGAGAGTGTGCCTATTAAGAAGGCAGATACTGGAAATTATGTTTTCTATCTAAAACCAAGAACAGTTAGACCAATTTCCTGTTTCAGTCTGCTAGCCAATAAATGCCAAATTTTACTTAAAGGGAATGAAATCATACTGACACCAAAAGGAACAGCCTTCTCTTTACTGAGGTTCTCCACTGAATGGTTTTCTTCCCCTTGACTAATAAAGCAATGTAGTATGTAAACCAATAGTATGTAAACCAATAACAGGTGGTGAGTGTCTGACTCCTGTCTTGGTTTTAAGGAGGCAACGTAAGGCCTTAGCCTGCTCACCTCCCTCTTTCTGTTCCCATACTTTGCTTGCATTCACATTGTCATAAAGTGAACCAGACAAAAGATCTGGACGTTTGCTAAAAGCTAATTTGGAGTGTGAAGGATGGTTTGGCTTAGTTACAGCTTTCTTTTCTGGTCTATAACACTACTGCATAAATAATACATGGCTCCAGTATAGCTGTCTACTTTTGACAAG